TGATCTCTACCTCAGGTTTACTGATTTTTCTTCTGCCAGCTTGAACTACTGTTGAGCTTCTTTTTTCTTTTTTTTTGTAGAGACTGAGTCTTGCTGTGTCGCCCAGGCTGCAGTGCAGTGGTGTGATCTTGGCTCACTATAACCTCCACCTCCGGGGTTCAAGCAATTATCCTGCCTCAGCCTCCTGAGTAGCTGGGACTACAGGGGCACCACACTACACCTGGCTAATTTCTTTCGTATTTTAGAAGAGATGGGGTTTCACCACGTCTGGTCTCGAACTCCTGAGCTCAGGCAATCTGCTCACCTCGGCTTCCCAAAGTGCTAAGATTACAGGCATGAGCCACCATGCCTGGCTAATATTTTTTTGGGTTTTTTTTGTAGAGATAGGGTTTTACCATGTTGCCCAGGCTGGTATTAAACTTCTGAGTTAAAGCAATCTGCTCACCTCAGCCTCCCAAAATGCTGGGATTTCAGGCATGTGCTACTGTGCCTGGCCCTGTTTGCTCCTTTATTTCATTACTTGGCTGCACTAATTAAGTTTATATCTTCTTCAGTGTGAAGTCTCTGATTTCATTCCTTAAAAGGTGTAGCCTTAGGTATACAGTCACCAGGGATAACAGTAGTTTCAGCAGGTCTGTCTTTGACTGCTTATTTTGCTGTGTTTGTTGGTTTCACACTCAGCTGTTAAGTCTCCAATTTCCAGTTGATTTCTCTATTGTTTTTGACAATGCCCCAAGGCATGAATGGCTCCACAGTGTGATCCTATTAAATTTGGCTCCTGCTTTTTTTTTTTTTTTTTTTTTGAGATCAAGTTTTGCTCTTGTTGCCCGGGCTGGAGTGCAATGGCGCGATCTGGGCTCACTGCAACCTCTGCACCCTGGGTACAAGCAATTCTCCTGCCTCAGCCTCCCAAGTAGCTGGCATTACAGGAATGCGCCACCATGCCTGGCTAATTTTGTGTTCTTAGTAGAGACAGGGTTTCTCCATGTTGGTCAGACTGGTCTCGAACTCCAGACCTCAGGTGATCCACCTGCCTTGGCTCCCCAAAGTGCTGGGACTACAGGTGTGAGCCACAGTGCCAGCCTCTGACCCAGGAGGGCCCTTCTTAGCTGTCTATTCCTTTGGTCCTTTCTGGTAAATTACTAACCTACAATTTAGCTGTTGTTGTGGAGCTACTAACTTCCTCTTGTTTACCACTAAATTCTCCATTGTTTTTGAGAGCATCCTTAGGGTTGAACTTTCCCAGTGTTCCAAATTGTCAGTTTGGAAATAGATTTGGAAATAGCTTCAGAGCTCTCTATTCTTTTTCTTAAGATGACGGAGTCTCGCTTTGTTGCCCAGGCTGGAGTGCAGTGGCGCCGTCTCGGCGGGGTTTCACCATGTTAGCCAGGATGGTCTCGATCTCCTGACCTCATGATCCGCCCGCCTCGGCCTCCCAAAGTGCTGTGATTACAGGCGTGAGCCACCACGCCCAGCCAGAGCTCTCTGTTCTTATAACCTGCATCTCCCTTGGGAAAATCTGAGTCATTGCTCTGGAGCTAGGAGTGAGGAAAGTGGCCTGCTTCTCTGGGAGTTACATGCCTGCTTTATGGGCTCAGTTGAGACTATATCCTCAGTTGAGACTATAACGTCTGGGGTTCTTGGCTTACTTCTCCTGGCATGGAAAATTCATCTTGGAGAAGGTGATCAAGGCCCTCTGTCTTGGCCTGCCATACCTATGGTAGACCCTCCACCTAGAGTGGAAGTCGGTTGTAGGGAGTCCCTGACCTCTTGGCTGGACCCTCCTGGAATTTAGTCTCTGCAACACAAAGCTAGAGGGACATGAAAATACTGGCAACCAGCCCCTCCCTGAAAGATACCATAGCCCTTGATTGGGAGTTAAGGGAGTACGATCTTCTTGACCATATCCAAGAAGATTGAGTGGAGCTTCAGAGTAGAGCTTCTATAGCACCGAGTTGGGATAGGGGGTTTGGTTAGGGAGAAATGGGTTGTAGCCTAAATGCCACAGACTCAATGTCCTTATAGAGATTTAGTAAACTTTCCTTATCATTTCTTCATTTGCTATATTCCCTTAGGACAACTGGCAGAGACTTTAAATGGTTATTTAAAAAAATTTTTTTCTTGCCAATACACTTTGGAAGTCATTTTTCTATTAAATTATTGTTTGTATTCTACGGTTTTACTAAAAACTAAAACAATGAAGTTTATTTGTATCCCCTAGGATATTTTAAAAATAAATTTTTTATAATCTCAAGACATAAAATACTATGAATTTAAAGAGAACAAATAAAAATTCAACAGATTTTTAATTTAAAAAATATTTATCATTCAGAAAAATCTCAGTAGAATAAAGCTATATCCAAGGTTTAAAAAGACATAGAATTATAAGAGAACATTACCTTCAGCAAATTTTTCTATTACTTTTAAGTATAATAGTATTGCTTATTTGCAAAGCACTGTTGTTGCTCTTCAGTATTTTTCTTTCATTTGAGTGACTGTACTTTAAAACACAAGACTATATAAAATCATAATGCCAAGCAACACCATTTACCATCAGCTGGAAAATTTATTCTTTTTCTTTAAATGCTATTCAGGGTGGACTATCTTTTTAAAATTCTGGAACACAAATGGATTTTAAAATACGTTGTTTACTATCAACTTTCTAAAAGCTATAGGTGGTGGATATGTGTACACATGTATTTTTTTTTTTTTTTGAGATGGAGTCTCGGCTCTGTCGCCTAGTCTGGAATGCAGTGGCATGATCTTGGCTCACTGCAACCTCCACCTCCCAGGTTCAAGTGATTTTCCTGCCTTAGCTTCTTGAGCAGCTGGGACTAAAGGCGCACGCCACCACGCCCGTCTAATTTTTGTATTTTTAGTAGAGACGGAGTTTCACTGTATTGGCCAGGCTGGTCTCAAACTCCTGACCTCAGGTGATCTGCCCACCTCTGCCTGCCAAAGTGCTGGGATTACAGGTGTGAGACACCGCACCTGGCCACACATGTATTTTTTTTTAGCACTAAAAGATGATCAGGGAATATTAATGCAAGCTAAAAAGCCCATATCACGTGAAACTTTCATTTGCCATCACAATTATTATAATTCTAAGAAAGGGATCACATAAATTACAACTGAAAGAAAAAAAATCCCCTCATGTACTTGGATTTCCAAGTACAAAGTTTTGCTATGTTCTCACTGCAACAACAGAATTATTTTTAGTACACATAACTCGTATACAATTAGTAAACATTTAAATTAGTTGTTAAAAACTTAAAACTTCAATTGGAATGTGATAATTCAAGCCAACCAGCAATTCAAGTGACCTTTATATTTGTATTATAAGGCAGTATTAAAAGATTGAGACCAGCTGGGCGTGCTGGCTCACGCTTGGTATTCCCAACACTTTGGGAGGCCAAGGCAGGCAGATCACCTGAGGTCGGGAGTTCAAGACCAGCTTGGCCAGCATGGAGAAACCCCGTCTCTACTAAAAATACAAAATTAGCTGGGCATGGTGGTGCATGCCTGTAATCCCAGCTACTCGGGAGGCTGAGGCAGGAGAATCCCCTGAACCCGGGAGGTAGAGGTTGCAGTGAGCCCAGATTGCACCATTGCACTCCAGCCTGGGCAACAAGAACGAGACTCCTTCTCAAAAAAAAAAAAAAAAAAATTGAGTCCTTGTCCCTGTTTGTGTCAGACTGTTTCACTATGCCTGAACAGAACCTACTTTTCTTGGCAGACCTTCTTTTCTTGGCAATGTTATAAACAATACAATAGTCAATTCAGAAATAAGTACCTGCGCCTCAAACTTCTGTTTAACTACTATGATAGATTATTTAAATGAAAGCAGTTGGCATACATGCTGCTTGCTTAGTTCTCTCCAAATGGGGATTTATGTCTGTTATGAAAAGAAAGTAGCTTGAGGTTAAATAATAATGCTAATATGCTAAGTAATTATGATTTCCATTTTTATAATCTAACCTGGATTCTTCATTCTGGGACACACACATAGGATTTATCTTTTATGTAGAAGAGTACTTAGATTGAAGGTATATACTTTTCTTTTTTTTCTTTTTTTTTTTTTTTTGAGACGGAGTTTTGCTCTTGTTGCCCAGGCTGGAGTGCAATGGCGCCGCCCTCACTCACTGCAACCTCCGCCTCCCAGGTTCAAATGATTCTCCTGCCTCAGCCTCCCAAGTAGCTGGGATTACAGGCATGCGCCACCACTAATTTTGTATTTTTAGTAGAGACAGGGTTTCTCCATGTTGGTCAGGCTGGTCTCGAGCTCCTGACCTCAGGTGATCTGCCCGCCTCGGCCTCCCAAATTGCTGGGATAACAGGCATGAGCCACCATGCCCAGCCAAAGGTATATACTTTTCAAAGTATTCAGGAATAAATCTAAATATTCCTGAGTACTTCCAGGAATTGCTAGAAAGACAACATATAAAACCAAACTACTTGAATACTTTGTAGCCTCTAAAAACAGTTATGAGTTCCATGAATAATCTGTAAAAGTCTTCTGGTTGATCAGCATTAGTTCTAAATGATGTTATCAGACTATGTAACTTCAAGTAATTTTTTTTTTTTGAGATGGGGTCTCGCTGTATTGCCCAGGCTGGAGTACAGTGGTGCCATCTCAGCTCACTGCAACATCCACCTCCCAGGTTCAAGCAACTCTCCTGCCTCAGCCTCCCAAGTAGCTGGGACTATAGGCGCTCGCCACCATGCCCTGCTAGTTTTTGTATTTTTAGCAGAGATGGGGTTTCACCATATTGGCCAGGCTGGTCTCGAACTCCTGACCTTGTGATCCATCTGCCTCGGCCTCCCAAAGTGGTGGGATTACAGGCGTGAGCCATGGTGCCCAGCCCAACTTCAAGTAATCTTCCAATCATTATTTCTATTTTTGAGATACTGGTTCATAAAACATCAAATATCCATGAATCACAGTGCTATCCACTGGCAGCATGGCAGTGAACTACAATGAAAACCAGTTCTACAAAAGACACTTTGAACACCATTGTTTCACACCTTTAATACTGTCTTAAAGGGTCTATTACTCTTCAACTATCTTAGTGTACTTTGAAATATAAAAGTAATAATTATCATTGGAACAGTTATTCTAAATCTAAATAACTCCTATAGTAATATTTGTTTACTCAGAACATATTTTCATTTCCAATATATGTAAAATTTCTCACAAATATAGAACAGAACTCACAGTTTGAACAGAAACCTCAGTGTTTAAATCTCCACATTCAGTAAAATAAACACTACATAGTAGGTTGTTCTGAATATAAATCACTCATTTAAGTAAATGGGATATAATTTCTAACTTGTGTTAAAAGTGAAGAAATAATTTTTTATGTGAAGCCTTGCCCCAACTCAGTCAAGTGCAAGATTATCATATGATACAAATCAAACTCTACTAACACAGCACATTTGTCAGAGACATTGAAGGCAGATACATAACTACAGCTGGGGAACTGGATGTCCTTCAGCTAGAGGGTAATGAAAGAAAAAAGCATATCATAGATCAGGCCCCAGTTTTAATTATTTCATTGATGACAATGCCTTACTTTATTTATTGAAGAATGTTTCTTCCACTGAAAATACACTTCTAATTTTATAATGCTAGACAGTAGGGGAAAAAATAGGAGCCCATTAAAAAAAAAAAATCCACTCTTAGAATCTAAAGTTATTGATATTGATCAGATACGCAATGACTCTTTTCTGCTGTGAAGACAATCAAATCTTTTTTTCTTTTTAAGTACTGACTTGCCAATTTATCTTTGATAACTGATTCAGAAAGATAAATGAACCATGTGACTTTACATATGAGAATATGTACATATATATATATATTCTGAGAAGTTATGTCCCATGATCTGACCCATACTTCTGATTTAAAATATAACTAAGTTCTCTCAATAAAACAGTACTAATTTTAAGTTTTAAACTGAAGTCACCCTTTTACCACACTGTTCTCATTCTCTTTACTTTTTATTTTTACATTATTTCTATAAATACTAAAAAAGAAAAAACCCAAATCCCCAGTCTTGAAACCAACTTACATTAGAGGTCTGACGTTAGTTTATAACTTTTAAAATATTTTGTTAAAATGTAAAAAACCTGAAATTACAAACAAAAAAATTTATACTTTTACAGTATATATCGAATTTTTTTAAAAAAATATTCTGAACTGTTTTTATATATGTAATCAAGTGTTATTTTTTTAAATGAAACTCCTTTATAGGCTAGAGAAGGATATGTGGTATTGCCCCATTAGAAATCAATATGCATTTCATTTTTTTATGCTGGTACTTCAACTATTTCAAAGTAGTCATTTGGTAGAATCACATAACCTCTTTCTGATACGTCGTCTTTCTCTTTCTGGAAGTGAACAACCTCCTTTAATTTTTCAAGCTGCCGTTCTTGCCTTCTGCATCGCTGCTGTGCCGTCTTGAGCTTCTTTCTGAGTTTTTCAACTTGCTGTTCTAGCTGATGAATCCTTTTCCGCTGATGCATTGTATCCTCCACAGTATAGTTGTGGTCACAGAAAACTGAGAGATTAACAGGGGTCTGAAGAGGTGGCATTAGTAATCCAATAGCAGCATCAACCTGGGAAACAGGAGGCGGTAAAGGAGGTGGAGGAAGCTGTTCCTGTGGCTCCAGATCTTCTTTCTAAAACAAAAGTACAAAGTATGTTTGAATTTAGTAACTAAAAATAACAGTTTAAAACAATTTGTGGACTGACCAGGGGTAGTGGCTCACGCCTGTAATCCTAGCACTTGGGGAGGAAGAGGTGGGCGGATCACCTGAGGTCAGGAGTTTGAAACCAGCCTGGCCAAACATGGCGAAACCCCGTCTCTACTAAAAATACAAAAATTAGCCGGGTGTGGTGGTGTATGCCTATAATCCCAGCTACTCGGGAGGCTGAGGCAAGAGAATTGTTTGAAACCAGGAGGCGGAGGTTGCAGTGAGCCAAGATCATGTCACTGCACTCCAGCCTGGGTGACAGAGAGACTCTGTCTCCCAAAAATAAATAAATAAATAAATAAATAAATAAATAAATAAATATTCTGTGGAATTTAAGAAATATTAGACTTTTGTGGTGAATCAGTGGTACAGAAACATTCCAAAATGAGAAAACAGTTTCAGTTTGAATAAACTTTTCTACCTGCAATAAAGGGACGGTGCAAGAAAGAGACAAAATGAATAATCAGATCCAATTAAATACTAAGCACTGAGGAGAAAAAAATGCTTTGAAACTAAACTGTCACTGATAAAGAAAACCCAAAACTTATCAATATATAACTGGCAGTACAGAGTGATTTTTAAGTAAGTTACAAGGGCTGGACTAAGTTTCTTAGTGTGAGGATATTTATCTTAAATAAACCGCATTTTGTGTTTTCAGAAGTGCATCACTGTTAACTACACAAAGTTCCAGGCACATTTATTCTCTTTAACTGAGTTTTCCACATTTTAATCAATGAACATATCAGTTTGATAAACAGAAAGCAACCCAATATTTTAAAACGCATATTACCTTGTCATGTGGCTCAGTACAAAGAAATATTGTGGGCACAGCATTCTCTTTCAGTAACTTGTTGTTGCACTCTCTCTTAAAGCAGTCTGGAGTAAAGTGCTCTGAACAAATACTGCTATACTTGGTGGGTTTAAAGTTTTTTCTTCTGACAGCTGCCTCCCATTCTTTACAAAGACTGGGTCGAGTAAGAGGAAACCTAAGAAGAAGGCATAATTCAATTATCTGTGCTGATTTTTTTTAAATAAAGGCACCCAAACTTTCCAACGTAGGAAAGATCTTACATTGGTATTAAAGATGTTACAATGGTATTATCATACTGGATTAAAGATTAGCTCTAGTTATCTATCTCATTTATTAATTAAAAAAAATTTTTTTTGAGACACAGTCTTGCTCTGTTGTTAGGCTGGAGTGCAGTGGCGCAATCTTGGCTCACTGCACCTCCACCTCCTGGGTTCAAGTGATTCTCCTGCCTCAGCCTCCCAAGTAGCTGGGACTACAGGTGCCTGCCACCACATATGCTACCATGCCCAGCTAAGTTTTGTACTTTTAGTAGAGACGGGTTTTCACCATGTTGGCCAGGATGGATTCGATCTCTTGACCTCGTGATCCGCCCACCTTGGCCTCCCACAGTGCTGGAATTACAGGCGTGAGCCACTGCACTGGGCCCTCATTTATTAATGTTTAACTTTTTATAGTGAGTTCACCAAAAGATTCAAGTAAAATACATACTATAGAATAAATGTGCCCGTGGCTCATGTCTGTAATCCCAGCACTTGGGAGGCCAAGGTCCAAGAGACTGCTTAAGTCCAGGAGGTTGAAGACTAGCCTGGGCAACACGGCAAAACCCTGTCTCTACAAAAAATACAAAAATTAGCTGGGTATAGTGGTATGTGCCCAGGTACTTGGGAGGCTGAGGCTGAGGTGGGAGGATTCCTCGAGCCTGGGAGGTCACGGCTGCAGTGAGCTGAGATGGTTCCACTGCACTCCAGCCTGAGTGACAGAGCCATACCCTGTCTCAAAAAGAAAAAAACTGTATTCTATTTTTACCAGTAATTTTCTGTGTGCTGCACAGGAAGACAAACATTGCACATTTGTATCTATGTACTGGGAAAGAGGGGCTTCTAGTTCTCTTAGCATCAGTCTGACAAATACGAACAGGCTAAATTTGAATTAAAGGCAGATAATAATGAAAGAAAAGTATTTATTTTCTAATCAACTGGGATGTCCATTAGGCCCAGGTAAACGGGGATAGTGAGAGTTTAAATTTATTGTGGTTTTACTCTTCCAAATTAAGGATTTGGTAAACTGGGGGGATTAGAAAAAAAAAACAAAGGAAGGGGGTTTTGAATTTACGTTTCACAGTTTTCTCTTCCATGTACAATATGCTAGAGCCTGACTCTGCTAGTAAGAGATCTTTATGACAGTCCCTTTTCTTTGTACAACATAGCACTCTCTGCTGCCACTATGCAGACGGTGGGATAAGTGGTACTCCTAGAAAATCTCAGCTGGGGCTGGGCGTGGCCTGTAATCACAACTGTAATCCCAGCACTTTGGGAGGCTGAAGAGGGCGCATGAGGAGGTCAAAATATCGAGACCATCCTGGCCAACATGGTGAAACCCCGTCTCTATGAAAAATACAAAAATTAGCTGGCCGGGCGCGGTGGCTCAAGCCTGTAATCCCAGCACTTTGGGAGGCCGAGACGGGCGGATCACGAGGTCAGGAGATCGAGACCATCCTGGCGAACACGGTGAAACCCCGTCTCTACTAAAAAATACAAAAAACTAGCCGGGCGAGGCGGCGGGCGCCTATAGTCCCAGCTACTCGGGAGGCTGAGGCAGAATGGCGTAAACCCGGGGGGCGGAGCTTGCAGTGAGCAGAGATCCGGCCACTGCACTCTAGCCCGGGCGACAGAGCCAGACTCCGTCTCAAAAAAAAAAAAAAAAAAAAAATTAGCTGGGCGTGGTGTTGCGCGCCTGTAGTCCCAGCTACTCAGAAGGCTGAGGCAGGAGAATCGCTTGAACCGGGGAGGCAGAGGTTGCAGTGAGTCGAGATCGTGCCACTGCACTCCAGCCTGGTGACAGAGCAAGACTCCATCTCAAAAAGAGAAGAAGAAAATCTCAGCTGGAAATGGCCTCTATACGTATAAACTAGGGTGGCATTTGCTGGTAAAATTCCGTACCTATGGCCTCCTGGCTCTGTAAGCATAAACTATGGTAGCATTTGCTGCTAAAATTCAGTCAGTACCTAGGGCCTCCTGGCACAAGGACCACAAATTTACAGCTGTTTGTGAGATTCTGTTAAAATCTTTCCCATCTACTCTCCCTAAACCTGCTCTTTTAGATAAGGGATAAGATGCAGGTTAGCTCTTCTTTTGATTCAATCCGTATGTGTTTAACACCTAGCAGAAACAGTTATTTCTCTCTCTTTTTTTTTTTTTTTTTTGACATGGAGTCTGGCTCTGTTACCCAAGCTGGAGTGCAGGGCAAGATCTCAGCTCACTGCAACCTCCATATCCCAGGTTCAAGCGATTCCCCTACCTCAGCCTCCCAGGTAGCTAGGATTACAGGCGTACGCCTGTATTTTGTATTTTTAGTAGAGACGGGATTTTGCCATGTTGGCCAGGCTGGTCTTGAATCCTGACGTCAGGTGATCTGCCCACCTAGGCCTCCCTAAGTGCTGAGAATTACAGGCATGAGCCACTGTGCCTGGCCAAAAACACAGTTATTTCTGACGTGTGAATACCCTCCTTAAACTTGTTTCCAGTGCCAGTGAAACATTTTCCATAATTTTAGATTCCTTCTGCCATGCCATCAGAAATGTGGGTGGGGAGCTGCACATGTAATCCTGTTACCATCACCTGACCTTTTCCTACATTTCGAAAGAACATGTTTACAGAAATTCCAATTAAATTAAGAGACAATATTAGGATATCCTGAACTGAATCCTGTAAGTGTTCTACCCCCTTCGCCAAGGGGTAACATCATTACTCTGGAGACCTATGTTCTACACTCTCTTATTTCTATAGGGTCCATCTCACATGATATCAAACACTTAAAAAATGCATGGACACTCCCCTAGTAAACATAGATGGCTCCACACCAAAATAAAAAAATTGAAAGGATATTTAACATTTTGCTTTTGTAATTACCTAATTATAAAAGATAATTAGCTAATTACCTATTACTAATTTGTATAGTTTACCCCTGGATCTGATTTCTTAGCTATCATCTGCATATAGCTGTCAGGAATTCTTACAAAGAAAACTTAACATAAATGTAATTAAAATTTGTAAACAAATTCAGCTGAATGTTATGTCACATTTTACAAGCGTTTGATTATCATAAGTAATTGCAACTTTGCACTTTTTTTCCTATTTTCAAGAGAATATTTTTGATCCTAGCACTCTTAACTGTGCTACCTATTGGATAAGACAGCTCTGAAAGCTGTGGGGCAGTTTCTTTCGAAAGAGCTTCCTCTATGCACAGGTAATGCCGTAATAAATAAAGATCAGTGTGAGTCATTTTATTATGATCCATGTTGTAACTGTCCATATTATCATTATTGTGTGCTGAAAAGATAACGATTTATCTTGGCAGTACCTGAAGCTTTCTTCAAAACTCAGGGTCCTTAAAGCTTAGTTCCTAGAGATTTGGGGCAAAAATTCTCCGGGATTTCCCAGCCAAAAAACCCTTAATTGCTACGATGCTGGCCTCCCATCCACGACAAGGGAAAAAATAGTGATTTCTTCGTTTGAAGGCCTTTGTTTATATTTCAAATTTACCCCTAAGACGTTATTACAACACCTGGCTGCTCGTGACCCTGGTGGCGGCAAAACCCGCGCCACCATAGGCATCGCCCGCGGGCTCCAAACTCGTCAACCGAGGCCTGGAGAGAAGCCTGCAACGAGGACCTGTTCCGAGAGCGCAAGAAACAACCGCCGCGGAGACGCGCGCCGAGAACGCGCGATCGGGCGACGGTTCCCAGCAGGACGCGGCGGGAAACGCCTCGCGCGGCCGGCCCCAGACCCCACCCGCCCCTCGCGCGGACACGCGCCTGGCTCCGCCCCCGGCCCCGCCGGTCGCGCGCCCCCACCCTGGCTAAGACCGGCCCCGCGAGGCGCGCAGGGTCCTCACTTGTGGAAAGAAACGGGCTTGTCCTTGTCGTAGCGGTTCTTGCAGCCGTAGGCGGAGCAGGACTGCACCATCCTTCCGGTCTTCAGGCACTTCACTTCTGCCGCCGCAGAAGGCAGGGGAAGCTGCTTTCAGTGTCGCCGCGCTCGGTTGGACACCCTCGCTCTTTTGTAGCTTTGGCCAACAGTTACAGTGATGGTGGCCTCCCTCGGGGGTGACTAGTGTGCCCGTTTTGTTGTTTGCATTAGCAGAAGGACCACAGCCATCGCCCGTCTCCCATCTCCAAGATGGCGGAGGCAGCTTCAACCTCACCTCTCGCGAGGGGTGCGTCCCACTGTCTCTGATTAGCCCCGAGGTCAGAGGTAACGATTCCTGGGAAGCTAACTATTGGCTGAGGCCAGGTGTTTCCGGCGGTGGCTTCAGAGTTGCGGAAGTGGGCGGAGCCCTGAACTTCCGGTAGGCAGGAAGGAACAGCTTGCGGGGGAGGAGGCGCGGCGGGAGGCTGGATTCCAGGGGCATCCTCCAGCCTGGGCTGTTCCCGTGGGTTAATTGATGCGGAGCTTTTCTGGGGCGGCTTACAGTAGGAAACAACTAGGGCCTCATGGAGAACAGGTGTAAAGCCGAGGTCGTTGTCTGATTGCGCCCATTTCTCTAAAAGGGCGGACACAGATGGTGTATGATTAATAAAATTGTGGAACCTTTTCCCAGAATGCTGATCTTTTTCCCATTACCTGTGTCTTCAGGCATCACAAGTCTCTGAGAGCCAACGTGACAGGTTTTTAGCAATGAAAAAAGACACACTCGCCAAATCATCTGAATTGCCAACGCAGAAGCATTATATATATGTATATATGTATGCATATATACGTGTGTGTATATATATATGTAATTTTTTTAAAAAATAGAGGCAGGATCTCCCCACGTTGCCCAGGCCAGTCTAGAACTCGAGCTGAAGGGATCCACCTATCTCGACCTCCCAGTGGGTTGGGATTACGGGAGTTGAGCCACCAGGCCCTCCCTCCCCAGAAGCTTTTGTGAAGGGCTGTCCATTGCTGTGATTTCCATGTGCGGTGTTGCAAATAGGGAGCTGCTGCAGCAGTTTTCACATCTGAGAGAGAATATGTCAGAGGGGTTCGAAATAGAGCGACTCTGTGTTGAGTGAGGGCTAGGAAAATGAGGCTGGGACTTGCTGGGCTGCATTCCCGGAAAGTTAGATGTTCCTAGCCTCTAGATGTATACCATTAAGGCAACAGATTGATAATGTTTACTAAACAGACCCAGACTTCGAAGTGTCCAGATATCTCGATATTTTGAGAACAGAAGCATTCCTAATTTTGCTTTAAAGATAATAATGGACTGGGCACAGTGCCTCACGCCTGTAATCCGAGCACTTTGGAAGGCTGAGGCGGGCGGATCACTTGAAGTCAGGAGTTCAAGACTAGCCTGGCTAACATGGTGAAACCCGTCTCTACTAAAAATACAAAAATTAACCGGGTGTGGTTGGCACATGCCTCGAATCTCAGCTACTCTGGAGGCTGAGGCAGGAGAATCGCTTGAATCTGGGAAGGCGGAGGTTGCAGTGAGCCGTGCTTGCACCACTGCACTCCAGCCTGGGCGACAAGAGTAAGACTCTGTCTCATAAATAAATAAAGATATCGATTCTTACATAATATAGTAATTAATCCTTTATCACAAACCCTTGTAGCACAGCACATGTCCCATGATCTTTTTTTATTCTATATATAAACTAAGTGTTGTACTTAGGGTGGATGCGTTCCTTCTCTTTCTTTCGGGAACACCCTACTCTGTCTGTGGAGTAGCTGTACTTTCACCACTTTACATTCTTAATAAACTTGCTTTTGCTGTGCACTGTGGACTCGCCCTGAATTCTGTCTTGCATGAGATCCAAGAACCTTGCCTTGGGGTCTGGATTGGGACCCCTTTCCTGTAACAGTTTTACTTCATTCCTTGCTCCTTTTCTTTATATAGATCTGAGCCAGGCAAACCTGGAGAGCAAAATGTTGAGTAATCCTTTCGCCCTTATTCTCCACCTTTCCTGCCCCTTTAAATGTTGGTGTTTCCCCAGGGTTCCATCTTCTGGCCTCCTGTAACTCCTAAACACCCTGCTCCTTAAACTGAACCAAATACCATAATTCTCTCATGTTTTATTTCCTTTGTATATCCGTTCTGCCTTTGGGATTATCATCTGTGAATTATCTGTTCAACAGTTGCCTAAATCAGAAACCTTGGAGTCATCTTGGATTAGTTTTTGTCACCCATAAAATCCTTTGATGACCAGGTTAATTTTATAGACTAAATAAATAAATGCCTCTTAAATCCATCCCTCTGCATGTCTCCTCACTGTTCTTTTTTTCTTTTTTTTTTCTTTTTGAGAGGGAGTGTCGCTCTGTCGCCCAGGCTGGAGTGAAAAGGCACGATCTCAGTTCACTGTAACCTCTGCCTCCCGGGTTCAAGCAATTCTCCCGCCTCAGCCTCCTGAGTAGCTGGGATCACAGGCACCTGCCAACATGCCCGGCTAATTTTTGTATTTTTATAGAGACGGGGTTTCACCATGTTGGCCAGGCTGGTCTTGAACTCCTGACCTCAGGTGATACGCCTGCCTCGGCCTCCCAAAGTGTTGGGATTAGAGGCGTGAGCCACCGCGCCCAACCCTCACTGTTCTTTAATTATTTTTATTATTATGTTTAATAGAGATGAGGTCTCACTATGTTGCCCAGGCTGGTCTCAAACTCCTGGGTTTAAGCTATTGGTCAGCCAGGGCCTCCCAAAGTCCTGGGACTACAGGTATGAGCCACGGCGCCTTGCTTCCTCACTGTTCTTGACCAAGCTCTCATGGTCTTAACCTTGCAGCAACCTCTTAACTATCCTAGTCTCCAGTTTTACCTCTCTCCATTCTATTTTCCATAGAAGGGTTGTGCATGCCTGCCATGCCCCTGCTCGTATCTTTGCAAGGCTACCTGCTGTACTGAATAAAATCCAAACTTCTTATGGTGAGTTATAAAGCTCTTTAGGACCAGGTACTTCTCTTCCACCATCATCTCCCTCCACTTGTCTTTACCTCTGTTCCAGCTTCATGTCTTAGAGGGCAGGCTCTTTTGTGGTTTCTTTAAATAGGCTGTTTTCTTGACTTGAAATGCCCATCCCTGACCTGTCCACCCTTAAGATGTGGCTTAATGGCCTGGCGCAGTGGTTCACGCCTGTAATCCCAGTACTTTGGGAGGCCGAGGCAGGTGGATCACGTGAGCCCAAGTATTCAAGACCAGCCTGGGCAACACAGTGAGACCCTGTCTCTACAAAAAATACAAAAATTAGCCAGGCGTGTTGGCACACATCTGTAGTCCCAGATACTTGGGAGACTGAGTTGAGTGGATCCCTTGAACCCAGAAGGTTGAGGCTGCAGTGAGCTGTGGTCATGCCTTTGTACTCCAGCCTGAGCAACAGCAAACCAACAGTTACCACGAGCTGGGTGTCAGGGCTTAGGAAGCTGAGGCAGGGACTCAAGGCAGCCTGGACAGCATAGTGAGACCCTGTTTCTAAAAAAATTGTTTTTAATTAGTCGGGTATGGTGGTGCATGCCTATAGTTCCAGCTACTTGGGAGGCTGAGGCAAGGAGGATCCCTTGAGTCCAGGAGTCTGAGGCTGCAGTGAGCTATGATCATGACAGTGAGATCCCATCTCTAAATTTTATACACATACACACATAGATATGTATTGCTCAAAAAAAAAAAAAAAAAAAAAAAAAGCTAATGATCCCCTGAGCCTTCAGCAAATGGTGATCTTTTTGCTGATGGAGAGTCTTGCTTTGATGTTGATGGCTGCTGACTGATCATGGTGGTGGTTGCTGAAGGTTGAGGTGGCTGTGGCAAGTTCTTAAAATGAGACAGCAATGCAGTTTGCTGCATCGATTGACTCTTCCTTTCATTAAGTATTTCTCTGTAGCAAGTAATGCTGTTTAATAGCATTTTGGTCACAGTAGAACTCTTTAAGAATTGGAGTTAATCCTCTCAAACCCTGCCACTGCTTTATCAACTAGGTTTATGTAATATTCAAAATATTCTAAATCCCTTGTCATTTCAACAATGTTCACAGCATCTTTACCAGAAGTAGATTCCATCTTCAGAAACTACTTTATTTCCTCATTTATAAGAAGCAACTCCTCATCTGTTCAAGTTTTATCATGAAATTGCAGCAACTCAGTCACATCTTCAGGATCCAGTTTTAATTCTAGTTCTCTTGCTGTTTCTATCACATCTGCAGTGACTTCTTCCACCGAAGTCTTAAACAACTCAAAGCCATTCATGAGGGCTGGAATCAATTTCTTCCAAACTCCTGTTAATGTTGATATTTTTCCTTCTATGAATTATTGATGTTCTTCAGGGCATCTAGAATAATGAATCCTTTCCAGAAGGTTTTCAACTGACTTTGCCCAGATCCATCAGAGGAATCACTATCCATGGCAGCTATAGCCTTACAAAATGTATTTCTTAGGTAATAAAACTTGAAAGTCAAAATACTCCTTGATTTATGGGGCTGCAGAATGGATGTTGTGTTACAGGCATGAAAACAACATTCATCTCCTTGTACATCTCCATTAGAGCTCTTGGGTGACCAGGTGCATTGTCAATGAGCAGTATTATTTTGAAAGGAATCTGTTTTTCTGAGCAGTAGGTGTAACAGTGGACTTAAAATATTCAGTGAACCATGCTGTAAACAGATGTGCTGTCATCCAAGCTTTATTATTCCATTTGTTGAGCACAGGCAGAGTAGATTTACCATCGTTCTTAAGACCAATAGGATTTTCGAAATGGTAAATGAGCATTGGCTTCAACCTAAAGTCATCAGTTGCATCAGCCAGTTGCATCTGACTGACAAGGGAGTCAGCCAGTCCTGTGATGCTTTGAAGCCAAGCATTGAATTCTCCTTCCTGGCTACTAAAAGTCCTTGATGGCATCTTCTTCCAATAGAAGCCATTCTATCTACATTGAAAATCTGCTGTTAGTGTAGCCACCTTCATTAATTATCTGAGCTGGATCTTCTGGAAAACTCGCTGCAGCTTCTCCATCAGCACTTGCTGCTTCACTTTGCACTTTTATGTTATGGAGATGGCTTCTTGCCTTAAACCTCCTGAACCGACCTCTGCTAGCTTCCAATTTTGTTCTGCAGTTTCCTCACCTCTCTCAGCCTTCGCAAAATTGAACAGAGTTGGGGGGGGGGTGTGGTTAGGGATTTGGTTTACGGGAAGACCATTTAAACTTTTTTCTTTTTGAGACCAAGTCTCGCTCTGTAGTCCAGACTGGAGTGCAGTGGCGTAATCTCTGCTCACTGCAACCCCCACCTCCCAGGTTAAAGCGATTCTCCTGCCTTAGCCACCCATGTAGCTGGGATTATAGGTGCGCACCACCACACCCAGCTAATTTTTATATTTTCAATAGAGACTGGGTTTCACCATGTTGGCCAGGCTGGTCTCGAACTCCTGACCTCAAGTGATCCTTCCACTTTGGCTTCCCAAAGTATTGGGATTACAGGTGTGAACCATGGCACCCGGCCTATTTAAACTTTCTCCATATCAGCATTAAGGCTGCTTAGCTTTTTTATCATTCGTGTGTTCACTGGACTAACACTTCTAATTTCCCTCAAGAATTTTTCCTTTACGCCAGGTGCGGTGGCTCACACCTGTAACCCCAGCACTTTGGGAAGCTGAGGTGGGCAGATCACAAGATCAGGAGACGGAGACCATCCTGGCTAACACAGTGAAATCCCGTCTCTACTAAAAATACAAAAAAAAAAAAAAAAAAAAAACCAACCCAAAAATTAGCCGGGCATGATGGCAAGCTCCTGTAGTCCCAGCTACTCGGGAGGCTGAGGCAGGAGAATGGCATGAACCCGGGAGGTGGAGGTTGCAGTGAGCCAAGATAGTGCCACTGCACTCCAGCCTGGGCGACAGAGCGAGACTCTGTGTTAAAAAAAAAAAAAAAAATTTCCTTTACATTCACAACTTGGCTGTTTGGCACAGGAGGCCTGGCTTTCAGCATGTCATGGCTTTCAACATGCCTTCCTCACCACGCTTGATCATTTCTACCTTATGATTGAAAGTAAGAATCTTAGCGAGGACTTAGTGGGCATTGGTAAGGTTATTAATTGGCCTAATTTCAATGTTGTTGTGTCTCAGGGAATAGGGAGGCCCAAGGAGAGTGAGTCTAGGGGATAGCCAGTGAGTGAGAGCACATACACCTTGTATCAATTAAGCTCACCGTAAGTGGGTGCAGTTTGTAGCACTCCAAAACAAAGATCAGTAGTAACATCAAAGATCACTGATCACGGATCACCATAACAGCTATAATAATAATGAGAAAGTTTGCAATATTGCAAGAATTACCAAAATGTGACAAAGAGACATGACTTGAGTACGTGCTGCTGGAAAAATGGTGCCAACGTACTTGCTGGAAGCAGTGATGCCACAAACATTCAGTTTGTAAAAAGTACAATATCTGCAAAAATCAATAAAGCAAAGTACAATAAAATGAGGTCTGCCGGTATCAAAATACCAGAATAGTAGTTTATTAGCATTACCATGGGTATTGAGGCCACTGGGCATATCTCTGAGGTCCTCTGTGCATGTGTCTGATAAATGTCAGAATGGATAACATTGTGAACTGAAAAAGTGTATTTCAACTTATAGTTCCCTGAAATTGTTTTCTCATTAATTGATTCAACAAATAGTTACTGACTATGCTGCATGCATAGTTCTGGGGGCTTGGGATACATTAGTGAAGGCGATTTCTACCCTCAGAGAGCTAATATTCTTGTGGGATTAGGGAGGCAGATAGCAAACATGTGACCACAGAGTATGTTAGCCGGTGAGAGGTGCTCTGTGGGCTGAGGGAGTTGCAGGTTGCCTTATGGTGGACAGGACAGGCCTAACAGAGGAAATGGCTATTGTGCAAAGATCTGGAGTTGGTGAGAGTTGACTGTAAGGATGCCCCGGGCGGGGGAGCCTGGCAGTCAGAGGGACTGCCCAGGGCAGAGCTCCTGAGGCTGGGCATCCTTGGCCTGCTCAAAGGACAGCAAGGAGGACTGGGTGGCTGGAGCAGAGTGAGCTGTGGGGACAAATGTGAGATGAAGTTAGAGAGAAATGAGCGACCAAAGTCATGTGGGGCCTTGCAGGCTGGCGTGAGGACTTTACCTTTACTCTCTGAGAAAGGGAGAGCAGGCTTTCCAGCAGTCACACCTGAGATGATCATTGGGCTGCGTTGCATGTAGGTAGCCAGGCACTTGGGGCCTGGGAGACTGCCCGGAAGGTCGCTGTGATCCTTTAGGTGAGAAATGAGGGTGGCTTAGACCTGGGCGGCAGCCACGACGGAGTAAGAAGTGATCTTTCCTTGTCTTCTGCCCTTTCCTGTCTTTCCCTTGCTTTATTTATTAATCTTTAGGTGTTGAGCACTACTGTGGTGGCAGGCGTGACGGTACATCTGCGAATATCCAGGTGGGCAAAACTAACATTGTCATAACATTTTCATAGAACTTGTATTCTAGTGAGAGGCAGACAGACAATTAAAATGTCAATACAATGATGCTGTGCTGAGATGTCTGAATGCCTCAGAGTGCCCCGGGGTAAGGGGAGGGGAGGGTCACTGCCGCCTTTGTTGGAGTGATTGGATAGTCTGGGTGAGGAGGGAACATTTAACCTGAGAACCAAAGGATGGAAACACAGTCTAGTAATGTGAAGAATAAAAGTGGTGAGGCTGAAGGGAGCATTCAGTCATGGGGTATATGCTGAGGCCCTGACCTGCGTCTGACTGTTCAGGCAGGAGAGTTCTGTGTGTCCAGGCACACAACAGCCTCTTAATGGGTCTGCTCACTTGCACGGCTGCTCTCCTCTGATGAACCCTACACATGGTAGTCAGATGACCTTTTAAAAATGTTTGTTAGATCATGTCTTCCCACTGCACTTAAATCCAAATCAACAGTCTTCCTGCTTCTTCAGCCTCACTTCATGTTCCCCTCCCAGCTCCCTGGGCTCTACCACCACAGCCCCCACTGGGCTCCTGGACACACAGAACTCTCCTTGGACCGTGGTGGTGGCAGAGGGTATAGAGTGATGGGAATCGACATGTCAATGGTAGAAATGCCAGGGCTTGTTGATAGATGGTTATAACAGTAAGAGAGGAGGCTGGGTACAGTGGCTCAGCCTGTAATCTCAGCAATTTGGGAGGCCGGGACTGGCGGATTACCGGAGGTCAGGAGTTCAAGACCAGCCTGGCCAACATGGTGAAACCCCGTCTCTACTAAAAATACAAAAATTAGTTGGGTGTGGTGGTGGGTACCTGTAGTCCCTGCTACTCAGGAGACTGAGGCAGGAGAATTGCTTGAGCCCAAGAGGCGGAGGTTGCAGTGAGCTGAGATTGTGCCATTGCATTCCAGCCTGGGTGACAGAGTGAGACTGTCTCAAAAAAAAAAAAAAAAAAAAAAAGAGAGAAAATAAGAGAGTGATTCAGATATTAACACAGACTTAAGCTTGCATTTCTGGCTTTAGCGTTTTGTTCTGAGATGGGATCTCCTGTCGCCCAGGCTGGACTGCAGTGGTGCAAGCCACAAGGCTCATGCAGCCTTCACTTCTGGGCCCAAGTGATCCTCCCATTTCAGCCTCTGGAGTAGCTAGGACCACAGGCATGCACCACCACATCTGGCTAATTTTATTTGTAGAGACGGGGTCTCACTATGTTGCCCAGGCTGGTCTCAAACTCCTGGACTCAAGTGATCCTCCTGCCTTGGCCTCCCAAAGTGCTGAGATGATAGGTGTGAGCCACCATGCTGGCCTGGCTTGAGCTAATGGATGGATGGTGGTTCCTTTTACTGAGATGCAAACAGCCTTTAATAAAAAGGGAACTATTTCCGTGAGCAAAGTAAAGGCCTTGGCGGGGGAGAAGTGATTTAGGAAAACTAGGTTGTCACCTGGGAGGTGCAGGAATGTCAGAAGAGAATGAACGTATAAGACTTATAGTTCAGAGAAGCTGGGGGCACAAGCCACTCAAACAGCACCCAAGGATCGCCTGCCAGCAGGGTGCCCTGTTGGTGTCTGTGATCATTAATCCATCTAGAATGAAACTGGTCAGTGTAGCGTCCCTCAGCCAAGTTCTCTTCCTTGTTCCCTTTTCTTGTTTCCTGTCTTCCAGTGATCCGTAACTTGGAAATGAAATATATACTTTTATTACCTGTTGAATATAATCCTTATATTTCCTTATTTCAAAATGGTAAACTTATCATTGGTATGGTGAATTACATATAATTTATTTATTCATTTTTTTTTAAATTTACTTTTGAGACGGAGTCTCACTCTGTCACCCAGGCTGGAGTCCAATGGCGTGATCTCAGCTCACTGCAACCTCTGCCTTCCAGGTTCAAGTGATTGTCCCATCTCAGCCTCCCAAGTAGTTGGGACTACAGGCGCATGCCACCACACCCGGCTAATTTTTGTGTTTTAGTAGAGACAGGGTTTCACTATGTTGGCCAGGCTGGTCTCAAACTCCCGACCTTGTGATCCTCCCACCTTGGCCTCCCAAAGTGCTGGGATTACAGGTGTGAGCCACTGTGCCCAGCCAAATTACATACAATTTAAAACAAAATTTGTTGCATTGAACTGAATGTTGAATTTTTCTTTGTAAAATATCTCTGTGACTAAATTTTCACTGTGGTCTGCAAATTAATTTATTTGCTTAATAGAAAAATAATTTTCAGCGTTGGGCATGGTGGTTCACACCTGTAATCCCAGCACTTTGAAGGGCTGAGCCCAGGAGTTTGAGATCAGCCTGGGAAACACAGTCAGACCATGCATCTACAAACCTTTTTTTTTTTTTTTTTCAATTAGCCAGGTAGGGTGGCACACACTTATAGTCCCAGCTACTTGGGATGCTGAGACAGGAGGATCACTTGAGCCCAGGAATTCGAGGCTGCAGTGAGCTATGATTGTGCCACTGCACTCCAGCCTGGGCAACACAGTGAGGTCCTGTCTCTGACCAAACAAACAAACAAAATAAAAAACCTAACAAAATTAATTAGAAATGTGATGAGATATTGGATGTCCATTAGTGATAACGAAAGCCATTGCACCCATTATACTGAATGCTCTTTCAGGAGTTCTGAAAGCAAACAAATGTTAAAGAAACAGAAAAATAACATCTTTAAAATTTTTTATATATGTTGCTTTTATTCAAAAGAATAAAATGCTTGACAAACTCTTTAATCACAAGGTTTGAACCAAACCACCAGTCTTCTACAACAACTCTGTGAGGTAGGTATCTGCATAGCCACAAGGGATCCACACAGTCCTTTCTTCCCTTGTACCTCTCAAACACTGAGAATTGTAGTAGTTGAAACCACTGTTCTAGTGGGCAGTTAGAACAGTTGTTTTCCCCATCTTATTCCCCACAGAGCTGCCCAAGTTATTGTCTGCTCCTGGGGTTGGACCATCTGTTTTATGACAGTTATGATACTGTTGTTTAAAAAAAATCCAAATTGTTACTTTGATTTATATGATCTAACTCTGAATCACAGAAGTATTACTATAATGTTCAAAACACTGATTGACTCTACTTGCTTTAAAAACTCTCAGATCCCTTCTGCATTTATGATCAGAGATCGGTAAAGATGACAATAAGCAGGCCTAAAGTTCTGAGATGTTAGCACGTATCCTTTTCACAATTTAGTAAGCTTAAGATCATTTAGTATTTTTTTTACGTTACAAAATTTGGTACAGTACACCTCTTTCAGGAAAGTCTTAGTAGTAACTCCAAATATTATAATTATTGTAACCAGAATTGTGACACTTGGAGCAGAATGCATGCACACAAATAAAATGCTGTCAAAAAATGACATCACCATTCCCCCACACCAAATGTATAACTGGTAGGAAATGCATTTTCAGTCTGGTACGTGGCAGTGTGACAAACTCCTACTCATTTGCTTTTCAAGTTGGTGACAGCAAGCATTTTCTGTGATGTATACTACCCTTTTACCTATTTGATTTGGAAGTGTAGAATTCGGATTCATGCAATCTTCAGGTGTCATCTCCACAGACCTTTCCTCTTAGGAGTGCCTAAGCTGTCTTACTCTGATGGAGGTATAATGTAGCATGAAAGACTTCCAAAGAACCAGTTTCTTTCTTGCCGTTCCTCTTAACAACTTCCACGTCTATCTAAACATTCTATGCAGGAGTCCTACTAAAAGATTTTGGTTTAATGCCACTTTGATCAGTTATTTGTTGTATGACTTCATTCAAAAACACTTTCATCAATAGCATAGGGATTTTATCTATGAAAGGGAAGTTGGTGCCCAGCGTTCCTCACAAAATTGTCCAAAGGATAAAATGAAAAGTATGTGAGTAACTGCTTTAATTATAGTGTGCTATGTTTAAGCATTATTGTCTTTCTCTATGACAAGCAACAGCTCTGTCCTAGGTCCAAATTAGAAAAACACATACTGATATTTAATTCAGAATCTCATTAATTGGTAGCTGATCTGATTAACTAGACAGAATGTGACAGATTTTCTTCTTATCTCCCAGTCTGCATATAGTGAAGCTCACTAATAAATTAATGGATGATATTAATAGCAGTGATCTCAGATGACAATGCTAACACTGACTCCTGGGCATCCCGTCATATCCTGCTGTTATACATTCAGTAATGACCAACACCAGCCAAAGTGAGTAAGATCTCCCAATACCATGTGGTATTGAGTCTTCTCAGATATATTCACTTGTTTGGCTCAAGACATGAATCTGAGCTGTGTGTTGCCTTCCTGAGACAATACTATAAAAATTTCTGACAACAGAAAACTAACCAAGTTTGTCCAATCTGTTGCTATAACTAACCAGTAATTTCTTTTGTCAAATGTAGATACTGTTCCCAGTACCTTCCTATGGGCTTGATGCTCAAATCCACCTTCCTCAGAAATGCCTCAGGCTACTCTGTTTGCAGCATCGCCCAGGTTCCTAAAACAATCTTCCCTTTACAAATTACTTTTATATCTACTATGAAAGGATGAGCTCGTTTAAATGTCTAACTGTGAACATCAAGTGTGCTGACTGGAGATAAATGTTTTTCATCTTTTTTTTTTTTTTTTTTAAGATGGAGTCTCACCCTGTCGCCCAAGCTGGAGTGCAGTGCTGCAATCTCGGCTCACTGCAAGCTCCGCCTCCCAGTTTCACGCCATTCTTCTGCCTCAGCCTCCTGAGTAGCTGGGACTACAGGCGCCGGCCACCACGCCCTGCTAATTTTTTGTGTTTTTAGTAGAGACGGGGTTTCACTGTGTTAGCCAGGATGGTCTCAATCTCCTGACCTCATGATCCATCTGCCTTGGCCTCCCAAACTGCTGGGATTACAGGTGTGAAACACCCCGCCCGGCCATGTTTTTCATCTTAATTCTTCTATTGATTAAAATATGTTCTGTAAACTAAAATATGATATTGAAGTATCAAGTTCAAGTTTCTTCTTTCAGTTTCAGCTGATAACAAATAATTATACCAGAATGAAAAAGCAGAACTGCTCCAAATGCACAAAACTTAGCTAGCACTAAAAGAAATACTGAATTTTCCCCAATAGTATATAATATTTTATTGTAACAAAAATATTTAGATGAGTTTCACAGCTATATATTATCACATAGGTACCCACTGAGAAGGATAAGGTAGATAAACTGACATTTAACAATATTTTACTATACATCCAATTAATCTAAGTAATTCTGGGGAAAAGAAAAATATATAAAAGCATCCCTTTTTATATAATTCCTTATTTTTTCCAGACAACATAGAATCAAGATACAATTGTAGATCATTATAATTCTAAACTTAGTATTAGAACTTGCAACATGTGAAAATTCCAGTTATATATTCCTAGGCATTTGTCAAATGATAATCAAATGTTTGTCTTATAGTGGTTTTATATTTGTGAGATAATACTCCATTACTTCATTGCTTTATACTGCCATGGGTCCTTCTGTTTGATGTTCTACGTTAGCTCAGATATCCTAGTAAACTCAGTTTTTTTTTTTTTTTCATCTGGTTAGCCTTTGGGTTATCACTTCTCGATACATAATAGAGATGTAGATAAGCAATAAAAAGATGACAAAGAAATCATCTAGAAAGCCTAGGATTCCAAACAAGGCTTCAGGTACAAAATCTAGAGGAGATATAAGATAGAAAAAAGCTCCCATTAAACAAAGTATTATTCTGATGCGAAACATCCAGAAAAGGCCCCCGACTGAAAACATTTCCCTGAATGCATGCCTCAGTAAAGTGGGTAGATCCATAATTCTCTCCATAATCTGGTAGAAGGAAAAACAAATATTATGATTTAGCATCTAATGTGTCAGGTTTCAAAATAATGTAATTTTCTTACTATGTGTAAACATTGTTAAGATTAGTTAAGATGAATTAATGAGTTACACATTGATTGAACATCATATTTTTTAATTATGCGTTGTATTTAAAAATAGCTCTTTGAATACTAGTTCTTACAGAATAGATCTTATTGCAGATAACTGAAAAGCAACTAAAGTGTCATCAAGCTTAAAATATGGGATAAAGTAATGCAAACCTCAAGTAACATCTGATTTGTTAGTAAAATAAACCAAAGAACCTAGTGCACAGGATTAGAGTCTGAGACTTGAGCGTAAGTCTCAGCTTTAAAGTCAGACAGATCTGGGTTTGAATTCAAAATCAATCACTTATTAGCCAGGTGATCTTAGGAACAGTTGCTTAACCTACTAGAGATAATTCAACAACTAACTGAGTATGTGCAAGGACTGTTAAGAACGAAAATTCAAAAGAAAAAAATAACTAAAAGAGATACTGTGTATGAAAGACCTTTATAACTTGCCAGACAATATAGAAGTGATTATATATTAAAGACATAGGAACTTTGAAGGTTTAAATAGTTTAAGAATAGCAGTGAAACTGATTCCTTCCAGCGAATCACTTCCTCTGGTCATTCCTCTGCTATGTTTAACATTCTGTGTTAACAGTCATACACCCAAACTCTAGATAGGCGTTTTATGTAACAAGTGCCAAATAAGTTGAGAGGGAGACAGAGACAAAAACACAAAGAACTGAGCAAGTGAGGAGAAAATAGTTTTTTAAACCCCCAGACCAAGAGAAAACCATCTTGTGACTCCTTTTGGAACAATGATCACCAAAGTACAAGAATGGTTGTTTCATAATCACTTCCTATGTTCTGTGGAAGAACTAATATCTAAAGCAAAATAGCCTTACCACTTTCACAAAGTTTATAATAAATGACTTTAGATACTCTAACAAACAGCCAGCATGTCTTTTGAATACCTTTCTGTCCTTTTTCAGAGCTATTTTGTTCACTTGTAATATAGTATCATCATTTATACAAAATCTTTAATAATTTGACAAGAAATATGAAATGGTTTAGTAAGAAGTGTTTCTGCATAAACTTACTCCAAATTTGAAGGAGGCAGAATACTAAAGAGCTAAATGCCTTTATTCTGTTATAATTTCATCACGTACCAGGCTTTTTTACTCATTAAATATCTGACACAAAAAATAATAATTGAGTAATAGTATGCTTCACATTTTAAAAATATGAAGGAAAAATTTTAAAGGCCGGATGCCGTGGCTCACACTGGTAATCCCAGCACTTTGGGAGGCCAAGGCTAGCAGACTGCTTGAAGCCAAGAGTTTTGAGATCAGCCTGGCAAACAGGGCAAAAACCCATCTCTACTAACATACAAAAATTAGCTGGGCATGGTGGCACACACCTGTAATCCCAGCTAGTCAGGTGGCTGAAATATGAGAATTGTTTGAACCCAGGAGACAGAGGTTGCAGTGAGCTGAGATCACGCCATTGCATTCTGGCCTGGGCAACAGAGCGAGACTCTCTCAAAAAGAAAAGAAATGAAAAGAAAAATGTTAAATGACTTTTTAAAGTTCAGTGGTAGCTCTTAAATTTGAAACAGGTTGCATTTTTAAAGAACCATCCTATTGATGTCATCAGAGGATATGTAAAAAAAAAATTGCTGGATCAAAATGGCAGAAGAGGCTCCCAAATAATTATGAAGGACAACATGATTAGATTAAGTTTTTTTACTGCTTAATGAAAAATGGGTAAATCTACCCATTATCATTCATAACAGTTGAAACTCTATGCCCTGAAATGTACACGACCTCACAGAACAAGGAACAATGGAGCATGAGCACATGTCTGTTTAACACTGAAGCATCTGCATAGCTTAATATATTCGGCTGGGAGCAGCAGTATCAATTCTTACCTTAACAGTAATTCATTCATTTATTCAACACACATTAAGGCACTGAATTTGGCACTGGTGAATAAATAAACTTGGCAATGGTAAATAAATAAAAATGGACCTTACCCTTATGAAGCTTTTAGTTTACTGAGAGAAAGATAACGAACAAGAATTGAGTGCTGTCTATGATAAACGCCATGAAGGAAAGGTACAGAGGGCAGCCACAGAGCAGGGAAAGCTTCTCCAAGAAGGGTCTACTTGGGAGTTATACCTGATGTAAAGGACGAGTTGATGGGTGCAGCACACCAACATGGCACAAGTATACATATGTAACTAACATGCACGTTATGCACATGTATCATAGAACTTAAAGTATAAAAAAAAAAAAAAAAGATAGTTGTCATCTAAAGACTGGGAAATCACCATGAGAGCAGAAGGACAAGCATTTCATGCAGAGGAAGTGTCAGGTGTGACAGCCTTAAGGTGGAAGGAGTTTGTGTGTGTGCTGAGAGCATACAGCAGGGTGGCTGCAGGGTGGTGATTGAGGCGGTTAACAGAAATTTGGAAAGGGAGGAAGGACCAGATTCTGTGGCGCCTTGTAAGCCACAGTAAGGAGTTGGAACATTCAAAGACATTGGGCCACAAGTGGTGGCTCATGCCTGTAATCCCACCACTTTGGGAGGCCAAGGCGGGAGGACCACTTGAGCCCAGGAGTTTAAGACCAACCTGGCCAACACGGGGAAACCCCATCTCTACAAAAAATATAAAAATTAGCTGGGTTGTGGTGGCATGCACCTGTAGTCCCATCTACTTGGGAGGCTGAGGTGGGAGGATGGCTTGAGCCGAGGAGGCAAAGGTTGCAAGCGACCCAAGATTGCGCCACCACACTCAAGCCTCAAAACAAACAAACAAAATGGAAGTTTTCAAACACAAGAGCATCATGGTCTCATTTATGTCCAGAAAATATTTATCAGGCTGCTGTGGCAGGGAAAAAAGTAGAAGTGAGGAGGCCACTGTGGTTGCTGTGAGCAGAGATGACAGGGCTGGACCGGTACAATGTCTACAGTGATTGAAAGAAGTGGACACAGGCTGGGCACGGTGGCTCACACCTGTAATCCCAGCACTTTGGGAGGCTGAGGGGGTGGACTGCTTGAGCCCAGGAGTTCGAGGCCATCCTGGGCAGCATGGCAAAACCTAGTCTCTACAAAAAATTAGCCAGGTGTGGTGACGCACCCCTGTGGTTCCAGCTACTTGGGAGGCTGAGGCGGTAGGATGGCCTGAGCCTGGAAGGTTGAGGCTGCAGTGAGACGTGATTGCACCACTGCACTCCAGCCTGGGAAGGAGTGAGACCCTGTCTCAAACAACAACAACAACAACAACAACAACAACACAGTCAAGACATTTTTGTTCTTTTTGAGACAAGGTCTCACTCTATCACCCAGGCTGGAGTGCAGTGACGTGATCCTGGCTCATTGCAACCTCTGCCTCCCGGGCTTAAGCAATTCTACCTCAGCCTCCCAAGTAGCTGAGACTACAGGTGCACACTACCATGCCTGACTAATTTTTGTATTTTTTGGTACAGATGAGGTCTTGCTAAGTTGCCCAAGCTGGTCTCAAACCCCTGAGCTCAAGTGATCTGCCTGCCTCAGTCTCCCAAAGTAGTGGGATTACAGGCATGAGCCACTGTGCCCTGCCAGCAAGAATATGTTGATGCAGTAAAAATAATAGGATACCCCAAAAATAGAAAGAAAAGATAGGATTACTTATAGATCAGGTGAGAGGAATGAAGAAGAGGAGGAAATAAAAAATGAGAAAAGAATAGACTATGTCAAGGAGGGAATCAGCTAAATACTCCACATGTTAAGTTAGAGATGCCTGTGGAGCACCCATGCTGAAATGGAAGTGAAGCGTTGGATCTACAGAGTCTGGAGCTCAGAGAGGAGAGGTCTGGGCTGTCCATATAAATTTGGATTTAGTACATTCTAGTTTTTGAAGTACTTATTCAGTTTTACATTTCTAAGAATGTGTTAGATTTTGATAAAACAAGAATGAGTCAGTAAAATGTGCTAGGTTTTGATTTATCAAATACTTCTAGGGTAAGGGGAAGAAAGGTTATCTGTACAGTGTTCTGCTTTTAAATAGCTAAGATGACATATAAACATATCCCTCCAAACTTTTTTTTTTTTTTTTGACATGGAGTCTCACTCTGTTGCCCAGGCTGGAGTGCAGTGGCACGATCTTAGCTCACTGCAACCTCTGCCTCCTGGGTTCAAGTGATTCTCCTGCCTCAGCCTCCTGAGTAGCTGGGACAACAGGCGCAAGCCACCATACCCAGCTAATTTTTGCATTTTTAGTAGAGACAGGGTTTCACCATGTTGGCCAGGCTGGTCTCGAACTGCTGACCTCAGGTGATCTACCCACCTTGGCCTCCCAAAGTGCTGGGATTACAGGTGTGAGCCACCGCACTCGGCCAACCTGGAATTTTTTTTTTTTTTTTTTTTTTTGAGATGGACTCTCGCTCTGTTGCCCAGGCTGGAGTGCAGTGGCGCAATCTCGGCTCACTGCAAGCTCCACTTCCTGGGTTCACACCATTCTCCTTCCTTGGCCTCCCAAGTAGCTGGGACTACCAGCACCCACCACCACACCCGGCTAATTTTTTTGCATTTTTAGTAGAGACAGGGTTTCACCGTGTTAGCCAGGATAGTCTCTATCTCCTGCCTTGTGATCCGCCCATCTCGGCCTCCCAAAGTGCTGGGATTACAGGCATGAGCCACCATGCCCGGCCCCAACCTGGAATTTTTTAAGGGAACATTTCAAACGGGGCTAGGGCAAATAGAATAAACCGTAACTGTGAAACTGTTGAAGTTTTCAGTTGGAACTTTTCTCAAAAAACAAACGGTGTTTTAGTATCACATAGAAGTAAATAATTTTCTATTTCCCTCTAATTTTTTCTATTGCTTTTCTGCTAGTTTTTCTTTCATAAAAATTTTTATAATGCTATTTGTTTTTTAAGAAAGAAAATTGTAGTCCTTGGGAAAGCTGTAACATAGTGATTGGCAGCAATGAAGGTAAAAACTTGACCGAACACATATAATGATATATTTTTTTTCTTTTTCTTTTCTTGTTTTCTGAGAAAGGGTCTCACTCTGCCACCCAGGTGGGAGTGCAATAATGCGATCATGGCTCACTACAGCCTTGACCTCCTGGGCTCAGGTGATCCTCCCATTTCAGCCTTCCAAGAAGCAGGGACTACAGGCATGTGCCAACACTCTTGGCCAATTTTTTGGCATTTTTTATAGAGATGGGGTTTCATCATGTTGCCCAGGCTGGTCTCAAACTCCTGGGCTCAAGTGATCCACCTGCCTTGGACTCCCAAAGTGCTAGGATTACAGGCGTGAGCCACTGTGCCTGGCCAAGATTTTTCATAGTCAAAGAATACTTGTTGGTAAACCTCACTTTACAAAAGAGAAGAAATGTGTCTTCCTCTAACTTTGAACATGCTTTAGCATTACTTACAGATCTGGGTTGCCCTGAGAATCTCCGGTTATAATCATTAATATCCTGATGCAATCTCACAACATCCTGAGACTGATCATCTTCACCAAATACCGTTAGGAGTAAGGTTACCTGTATATTACAGAAAAAAAAAATATTTCAACTTTCTGCATCATTATGTTTTTCATTTTGTGTTATTATTCAATAGAATGGTAAAGGCTTCTATATTTATATTTCACTCATTTTTAAATAAAGGCAACCTGGAGGAGGGGAGTAAGTAACTGCTTTGCAATAAAATCCAGTGCAGCATAGAATTTGAACTCCTATAAGATAAAACAGGCACCATATGCAACTACTGGTCTAATAGTTTCCTGTCCACACTAGGGATAAATTCAGTAGTTCTCTAATTGGGCTGACAGATATTTGAAGATGCAAGAATGATGAGAAAACATTCAGGAGGAAAGTGACATACAATATATAACTGTCACTTTAAGACAAAAAAATTACTTTTTTTTTTCAGTATTAAAATAATGATTGGTTATTCTTACTGGTATTTGAAAGATCTTTGAATGCTACCAACCATAATATAAAGATTATGTTATTGCAGGGACCAGCTCTCAAACACCAATTCCTACTAAAATAAAAAAAAAAGAAATTTTTGATATTGTTATATAACATAATACATTTAACCATGCTTCCTTCATGGTTGTGGTAACAAGGATATACAAATGTCCCAGGACCATACTGGGGTAATCTGACAGTGAAACAGTACCTTGAAAAATAAATACACTTTAGGACGTAGCACCCCTACAGAAAATGGTCACTAATGATTGTATGATGACATAAAAGAAGGAGTGGTGGCCGATTTAGTTTTAAATCATTTAGTTGTTGTTTTATCCTTCCTCAGTTCAGCTGTAAAACCAAGGCTTCCCACTGCTTACATGCTTTCCAAACAGCTAAATGAAGGTGTGACTAAGCACAGAAGGTGGTGAGAACAGCAGGTGCAGCCATCGGTTCCTTCACAAATTTGTTAATGAAAATGCATTCTTTCAATACACATTAATGGAACACCTATGGCGGGGCAGGCACTCTGCTAAGTGCTAGGTATGCCAAAAAAATGAAGACACAAGCCTGCTTCAGGGTGACTACAGCACCCACAATGAAAGGGGACGCAGACCTGGCTGACAGCCTTACATGGCCCTGGGGCAGGTGCAAGAATGCTGCTGTGAGAGCGAGGATCTCTTCTTTCTGGGGTGGTCAGAAAGCCTGATACTGAGCTAAGCCTGGAAACAGTGGTAGGACTGTGGTTGGTGTACACATATTCAAGGGGAGAAGCAGTGAGTGTGTTCCAGTCAAAGGCCTGTGTATTGCTATTTCCATGACCATTTACTAAAGGGGCCTACTGAAAACAGGAGGTAGAACAAGCATTTGCCATCTATCTTGCCTCCAGGATGAATTACTCTTCGCTTAGAGAACCAAGAGCTATGATATTAAGAAAACTTTATCTTGACCTTCTGAGCCTCTAGTCAATTTATGGATGGTACACAGGATACCACCGGCTACTGTACACATGCCCTATGAAAAGCCATGGGCAGAACCAAGAAGGGGGAGGGCCTGGAACTATTTTTGTAATGTCAGACCTACTCTTTGGTTTGGATATTGCTTACTGAGAGCAAAAGATGCCAAGAGGTGGTACTGGCAAATAAGCTTCAATTTTTTTTTTTTTTTTTTTAATTTTTTTTTTGAGATGGAGTCTCGCTCTGTCTCCAGGCTGGAATGCAGTGGCGCGATCTCGGCTCACTGCAACCTCCACCTCCCGGGTTCAAGTGATTTTTCTGCCTCAGCCTCCCGAGTAGCTGGGACTACAGGTGTGCACCACCATGCCCAGCTAATTTTTGTATTTTTAATAGAGACTGGGTTTCACTATGTTGGCCAGGATGATCTCGATCTCTTGACCTCGTGATCTGCCCGCCTCAAACCTCCCAAAGTGCTAGGATTACAGGTGTGAGCCACCACGCCCGGCCATAAGCTTCAATGTTGATTGCCTTGTGTCACACATCAAATCAGCCAGAGAGGCATACAGAAACATCAGTTTTCCTCCTGACCATGTGACCACAAGTAAAATATGAAAGAGGCAGAATTTGGGAATGTAGAAGCAAGAATGGTAAGAAAATGACTTGGACCTCCCTCTTTACACCAAAATAAGAGGGCAGTTGAGGGGAAACAGACAGCTACAATAAAGGCCAAAGGAGAGAGAGAGAGAGAGAGAGAGAGAGAGAGAGAGTGTGTGTGTGTGTGTGTGTGTGTGTGTGTGTGTGTGTGAACATTCCACCCACGGGTTAAGTGGAGGAATACTTTTTTTTAGTGATATAATCTGGTTCTATTGTCCAGGCTGGAGTGCAGTCCCATGATCATAGCTCATTGCAGCCTCAACCTCCTGAGCTCAAGCAATCCCCCCACTTCAGCCTCCCAAGTAGCTGGGACTATAGGTATATACCACCACACCTGGCTAATTTTATTTTTAAAATTTTTTTGTAGAGATGAAATCTCATTTTGTTGCCCAAGCTGGTATCGAACTCCTGGCTTCAAGTAATCCTCCTGCCTTGGCCTCCCAAAGTGCTGGGATTACAGGCATGAGCTACTGCGCCCAGCCTGTTTTTTTATTTTAAATGAAAAATAAATATAAAGGAAATTATGAAAAACAGTGTATAACTGATAAAATGTCCTATGTTGTCATACTTAAAAACTGAGATTGTTGGTTTCTCAGAATTGTTCAGTATTTCATTTCTCCAGTTTATCAAAGAAATGGAGAGAATTTGGCATGTCTCATCTGCAGTGACATTTCAGTCTCACATTCATGTTTACTTACTGCCTCCCTCCTGAGGTGGCTTCGATGCTAACTGTCATGGTTTAAGCTGTTCTGGACAATGCAATGTGGCCATGTCTCTAAAAGGAACAAAACATTTAAAAAAAGTCATTATATACCATTTAAAGCTATCTGGGTCCTCACTGGAAAAAGACAGATTAAATATAAATTGAAAAGGAAAAAAATTTTTTTCAAAACAAGTGTATGTAGAGGATATATGTTCAAGTCTGATTACGTAGTTTGGTTATTCCTTTGCTGGTACTGCTACAAAGACTTTATTGGGATTTTTGGGAAGGATTCATTTACCAGTTGTCTTTCACTACAACTGTAGGATTTCAAATAGGATTCCCTTTTTCAGTGGTATCTCAATGACAGTTTAAAAAGAAAAATCATGGGCCAGGTACAGTTAAAAAAAAATCATGGGCTGGGCGTGGTAGCTCAAGCCTGTAATCCCAGCACCCTTGGAGGGTGAGGCAGGAGGATTGCTTGAGCTCAGGAGTTTGAGACCAGCCTGGGCAATGCAGGGAGACTTCATCTTTACTAAAAATTAAAAAAATTAGCCAGGCATGGTGGCACATGCCTATAGTCCCATCTACTCAGGAAGCTAAGGTGGAAGGACTGCTTGGGCCCAGGAGGTCGAGGCTGCAGGAAGCTACGATCATGCCACTGCACTGCAAGACCTTTTCTCAAAAAAAAAAAAAAAAAGTAATAAAAACAATAGAGTAACATCAAAGATTTGGATAAATGAAGTTCTGCTAAAAAGAATAATTCCAAATGTAGATACAAAAACTATAAAAATGTACAAAATAGCATAAATTATGCTTTCTGCACGCAAAACATTACCGTTTGTCTACAGATTGGACAACTGATTGCCCCAAGCCATGAACCGTATCGCCAGTAAGCAATAATGCAGGCACCTAATAGACAAAACAAAACAAACAATCCATTAATATTGAGGTTTTAAAGTCCATATATCGTCAGAAAGATTCAACTATCTGAAATATTTTAACAGTACCACCTTATTTAAAAATACTTTTTACTTCATCCAGACAACCTTCAGGCAAATTCATATCTAGTAAGAACTCCTAGCCATTAAAATTGTTTTAATTTAAATTCCAGGTTAAGGCCGGGCACGGTGGCTCACGCCTGTAATCCCAGCACTTTGGGAAGCCAAGGTGGGTGGATCACTTGAGGTCAGGAGTTTGAGACCAGCGTGGCCAACATGGTGAAACCCCATCTCTACTAAAGAAATACAAAACTTAGCCAGGTGTGGTGGCACACGCCTGTAATCCCAGCTACTTGGGAGGCTAAGGCAGGAGAATTGCTTGAACCTGGGAGCTGGAGGTTGCAGTGAGCTAAGATCGTGTCACTGCACTCCTGCCTGGGCAACAAAGCAAGACTCTGTCTCAAAAAAAAAAAAAACCTCCAAGTTAAGCTACAGTTGTACACAATCAAAAGTAAGTATACATTAACTGCCTTAATACTATGAAGCTTCATACAAAATATTATATTTCCTATGTAATATAAATAAAACAATAATTAAACATCATTGTAAATATAACAACCAACAAATCAGAGCATAAATTTTCTGTTCTAAATTTGCTATGTTACAAAACACAACTTTTAAAAGAGTTTAGAAAACCAAATTATCAATGTATTAACTAATAGTAATTAGGTATTAATAGTACAAGTGGCCAGGCACGGTGGCTCACACCTGTAATCCCAGCACTTTGGGTGGCTGAGGCAGGTGGATCATGAGGTCAGGAGTTCAAGACCAGCCTGGCCAACATAGTAAAACCCCGTCTCTACTAAAATACAAAAAAATTAGCCGGGCTTGGTGGCGGGTGCCTATAAATCCCAGCTACTTGGGAGGCTGAGGCAAGGAGAATCGCTTGAACCTGGGAGGCAGAGGTTGCAGTGAGCTGAGATGACACCACTGCACTATAGCTGAGTGACAGTGCAAGACTCCATCTCAGAAAAAAAAAAAAATAGTACAAGCAAGGAATCAAAGGACACAAAAAGATTATATGCTCTGCCCTAATGAAGTGTATAGTCCAGTTCAAGAATCGAATCAACTCTTGCACTAGAGGGATTGGATTTTTCTGCTTGAAGGTATTCACAAGCAGCAAGCCAGCCGAAGATGGGCAACACAGCCTGAAGGCAGAGTCTGGCGACCTCAAGAAGGCACAGGTGTGCCAAGTGTATAAGCACCAAACTTTAGGCCAATAACAGGTGAAGGAATAGTTTTGAACACTGTCTGGTATTTAAGGAGCCAATCCACTTTCTTTTTTGTAGGACACCTGCATCTTCAACTATCCAGGTCCTACTGTGAATCTGAACTAAGTGCTAAGTGCTGAACTAGTGTCCCTTCTCCCTCCAGGAACCTCTGTGTATTCTTGCTCTTGCCTGAGCAACCTGGCTTAGCCCTCCTGTGTTCCTTATTCCTCCAGATCAAGTAAGTGTTCAGAATTCAGAACAAGCAATGGCAATCCAATTGAGGAGACCCAGGTGACATACTCAAATCAATGTAGAAGGCAAATCTTCAACTGTGTCATATTAACTTGAAATACAAAAAAAGGGCCAGGCACAGTGGCTCACACCTGTAATCCCAGCACTTTGGGAGGCCGAGGCAGGCAGATCACCTGCGGTCTGGAGTTCGAGACCAGTCTGACCAACATGGAGAAACCCTGTCTCTACTAAAAATACGAAATTAGCTGGGCTTGGTGGCGCATGCCTGTAATCCCAGCTACTTGGGAGGCTGAGGCAGGAGAATTGCTTGAACCCAGGAGACGGAGGTTGCAGTGAGCCAAGATCGCGCCATTGCACTCCAGCCTGGGCAACAAGAATGAAACTCTGTCTCAAAAAAAAAAAAAAAAAAAAAAAGGCCTGGGCGCGGTGGCTCACACCTGTAATCCCAGCACTTTGGGAGGCCGAGGCAGGTGGAGACCATCCTGGCTAACATGGTCAGGAGATCGAGACCATCCTGGCTAACATGGTGAAACCCCATCTCTACTAAAAAATACAAAAAATTAGCTGGGGGTGGTAGCGGGCACCTGTAATCCCAGCTACTCAGGAGGCTGAAGCAGGAGAATGGCATGAACCCGGGAGGCAGAGCTTGCAGTGAGCCCAGATTGTGCCACTACACTCCAGCCTGGGTGACAAAGTGAGACTCCGTCTCACAAAAAAAAAAAAAAAAAAAAAAGAAGAAATACAAAAAAGGAGTGCAGAGAAGTATGCATTAGAGAGTAACTTGTAGAGAACAAAGGATTTGAACTGAACTTCATAGGACAGATGAGATTTAGATAGGCAGAAAACAGGAGGGAGGACACTTCAGGTTTTAAGAACAGCAAGAGCAAATGTCGGAAAGGAGTGTCACGTGGATTAGGTTCAAGAGGAGAAATGTATCTACCTTCTCTGATGCCCATTTAATTTTCCCTGCCCAATCTTTCATAACTTGCCTGGTGATTAGCATTTCCAATAGAAAATTAAAAGATTAAAAACTGAAATAAGCGTTTTATACTTTGTTAGTTACTTAAGTGAAAACCTTAAAGAAGAGACTGGAATGAGTGGATGAAGCAATGATGAGACTGGATTACTGAAAGAGCACAAGGTACAGAAAACCCTGCCATTACATGGTATGGGTTCCAAATATGCCATCTCCAACTGCACAAATAACACTGTATCTAATAATTCTATACTATGAAGTTAGACAAAAGGGCCAACACAATTTACAGGATGATTATATGCTACATTTTAAATTAGTCCCTGTATGAAAATTTCCTACATTTTGGGAGCAATAAGACCCTATCTTGAACACAACTGTTTAAACAGAAACAATAAAAAACTAGGTCTAGTGACTGGACAAATCAAAGTGGCTTCGAGTGTTTACTATTGTATGAACCACTAATCATGCAGAACTGAGCACAGGGATTGAAGATAAACCTAGGTTTAAAATCTTTGGCTCTGTCTGGGCTGGGTGTGGTGACTCACGTCTGTAATCCCAGCACTTTGGGAGGCCAAGGTGGGTGGATCACGATGTCAGGAGTTTGAGACCAGTCTGGCCAACATGGTGAAACCCCATCTCTACTAAAAATACAAAAATTAGCTGGGCATGGTGGCAGGCACCTATAATCCCAGCTGCTTGGGAGGCTGGGGCAGGAGAATCGTTTTAACCTGGGAGGCGGAGGTTGCAGTGAGCTGAGAGCACACCACTGCACTCCAGCCTGGGCGACAAGGTGAGACTCCATTTCAAAAAAAAAAAAATTGGCTCTGTCACTTAACAGCTGGCCTACTCTTTGTAAAATGTATTATTATTATTTTTTTGAGACAGGATCTTGCTCTGCTGCCCATGCTGAAGTGCAGTAGCATGATCACAGCTCATTGCAGCCTCAAGCTCCTGGGCTCAAGCGATTCTCCTACCTCAGCCTCCCCAGTAGCTGGGACTGCACATGTGAGCTATTGCACCTGGCTAATTTCTTATTTTTTGTGGAGACAGGGTCTCCCTATGTTTCCCAGGCTGGCCTCCAACTCCTGGGCTCAAGCAATCCTCCTGCCTATGCTGAGATTACAGGTGTGAGCCACAGTGCCTGGTCTCTTTGTAACATTTCTTCATATCTCTAAAGCCTGTTTCCTCATAGGTGGGGTTAGATGAAGTATATTAATGTCCAATACATAGGCTTGTAATAACTGATACTTTGCCCCTCAACCTGCTATGGCATAATCAGCCATAGAAGATTTTCCTGAATCTGCAGATTCAGGAAAAATGAGGAGTGGTGGAAAGCACTCCTTCCTGATACTAAGTAAGTGTGAAATTATTCCCTTCTTACCCCAAGGCATGCTCTAGGGTTCTCATTCTCCCTCATTAAACCTCAAGAGGTTGAGAGAGAGACAGACAGAGACAGAGACAAACATACTGAGACTAAGACCTTTAAGACTTTCAGTACAAACTCAGAGTCAAAAGAGGCAGGAGGGCAACGCAGGGTCTTGGGCAGGTTCTTGAGAGAAGAACCTTCCTGCCCTGGGAAGGATGAATAATAAATGAAACTCCCAAAGAGTGATGAACAAAGAGGGACTCAGTGAATCCCTCATGCTATGGATGTACTTGAACTACTGTCCAAAGAAACACACTTCTGTTTATGGGGAAGCTGAATAGTTTCTTTAAATTCTGAACCCATAGCTGCTACATGGACAAACTAAATAGAAAGTAAATAAGTAAGTATATTATTTAGATGCTAAGTATACTTGGTTGACAAGTAGAGCAGGATATCAGAGGTAATCTACCCTACTCGCAAAATACAAAATGTGACAAAGAGAAAATTAGGAATCCAGCCTTTGTTCACATAGAGGTCTTGGTCTTGGTCTAAACAGTCACTTTTCCCAAGTATAGTGTTGTTTGCTTACCACAAAAAAGATGTCCACAGTTGGTCTCCACCGGGAAGGAGGCTTGGTGCAGGCAGATGGGACAGTACATGTCGGTGTAGAACTGCTGTCGAGCAGCAGCAGGTGCATCCTAATAAGAACACAGGTGCACACATTGGAATACAACACATGTAGTCCTCAACAGTATCTCATGTTAAATTATATTTGAGAACAGAGTCAACAGTGTGTAACCCTCATCACATTGTAAACGTGCAATAGTTTAAGGTTATAATTTTAAGAACATTATGAGGCTATATTGTTTTTATTTAAGCTGCATGGTCTCCACTTTCCTTCCTAAACACAATTTAAAGACAAAAACTTAGATTAACTCAAGAGTTCATCTTTTACTCTACTGGAATACATAAATTATTCTGAGTAACACAAGGCTGAGCTAGTGCATAACCTAACAATAATAAATATTGAGGTCGGGTGCAGTGACTCATGCCTGTATTCCCAGCACTTTAGGAGGTCGAGGCAGGTGGATCACTTGAGCCCAGGAGTTCCAGAGGAGCCTGGGCAACATGGCAAACCCTGTCTCTATAAAAAATAGAAAAATTAGCCAAGAGTGGTGGTGGCATGCACCTGTAGTCCCAGCTACTTGGGAGACTGAGGTGGGAGGTCACCTGAGCCTGGGAGGTTGAAGCTGCAGTGAGCCGTGACTGCACCACTGCACTCCAGCCTAGGTTACAGAGCAAGACCCTGTCTCAAAAAGAAAACAATATCAAATGTCAAACTGTTTTCTAAGTCTTCACTTTTTTCATTTTCAACGTCTTTTTCATTTTAAAAGTGTTGCATGTATGCAAGAAACATCCAGATATCAATGACCTCACTAGGATGGATCATGAGGGCAAGGGATTTATCTGTAGGACTCATTGTACCTCAGGACTTAGAAAAGTGTCTACATGGCTGGGCACGGAGGCTTACACCTGTAATCCCAGCACTTTGGGTGGCTGAGGTGGGTGGATCACTTGAGGTCAAGAGTTTGAGACCAGCCTGGCCAACATGGTGAAACCCTGTCTCTACCACAAAATACAAAAATTAGCTGGGCATGGTGGCGTGCACCTGTAGTCCCAGCTACTTGGGAGGGTGAGGTGGGAGAATCACTTGAACTCAAGAGGTGGAGGCTGCAGTGAGCCGAGATCACACTGGTACACTCCAGCCTGGGCAACAGAGACCCTGTCTCAAAAAAAAAGAAGTGTCTACATAACGTATATCTTATGTTATTGTATTGTAAAAATACTTATTTATCAAAACTTGTTTTGATGGAACCCAGCAGATAAAGTTGCCAGCATGAAAAATATCTAATTACAGAAAAAGTATCAAATTTACTAAATAGGAACTGTTCTTAAGTGAATCAGATTTTTGCCACTCAATATTAATAAACAAATTTAATAAATTTAAATAATAATAAACATAACTAAAAGGTCATACTTCCAAAATAGCCCTAAATCACCAGAATATTCTGTGATCCAAGGCTACACCTTGATGTTATAGTCACTTATGTCAGTTTTAATGCTACAAAAAGTGTACAGCACTTTATGTTCCCTTCTCCACCTTTTCTTTTCTTTTTGAGGCAGAGTCTCACTCTGTCACCCAGGCTGGAATGCAGTGGTACAATCGCAGCTCACTGAAACCTCTGCCTCCCGGGTTCAAGTGATTCTCCTGCCTCTGGAGTAGCTGGGATTACAAGTGGCCACTACCAAGCCCGGCTAAATTTGTATTTTTAGTAGAGACAGGGTTTCGCCATGTTGACCAGGCTGGTCTTGAACTCCTGACCTCAGGTGATCTGCCTGCCTCAGCCTCCCAAAGTGCTGGGATTACAGGCGTGAGCCACTGCACCCAGCCTTCTCCTTATTAATTTTTAAAGAAACTGACAAAAATCAATTAACAGAGATGTCCAATAGAACTTTCTGCAGTAATTGAAATCTTTATCAGTGCTGTCCAATACAGTAGCCACGAGCCACATGTGGCCATTGTGTACTTGAAATGTGGCCAGTGTGACTAGAAGACTTAATTTCAGATTCTATTTAACTCACTTGAATAGCCACAGGTAGCTGGTGGCTGTCATACTAGACAGCAAAGAATAGACTACATCGCCACCCTTATTTTCACTCTGAGAGCTGTGTGCCGGGCCTCAGGAAGAGGTGAGGCAGATGAGTGGACACTGCTGCAAGGAGACCTGGAAGATTCACTTCAATCTGGGGCCCCTCCATAGCTGAACCCAGTCATGAAATCGCTAGTGTCAGTGTTAGCAAATCTTAGCAGTCTCATATGTTAATGAGAATAATTATAATTGCCTTACTTATGTCTAAAGATTAAATACGATTGTTGTTTGGGAAATCACTTTGTAAATTATAAAACCTATCTCAACATGAATTATGGGTAACAATTGTTATGGAACAGAGTACTACTAATAGGCTTAAAGTATTGCTTTTTTTTTAGACGGAGTCTCGCTCTCTGTTACCAGGCTGGAGTGCAGTGGCGCAATCTCAGCTCACTGCACCCTCCCCCTCCGGGGTTCAAGTGATTCTCCTGCCTCAGTTTCCCAAGTAGCTGGGACAACAGGTGTGCACCAGCACGCCCAGCTAATTTTTGTATTTTTAGTGCAGATGGGGTTTCACCATGTTGGCCAGGAGAGTCTTGATCTCCTGACCTTGTGATCCGCCCACCTCAGCCTCCCAAAGTGCTGGGATTACAGGCATGAGCCACTGTGCCTGGCCCTGCTTAAGTTATTCTTGTATCAATGAATATAAGTTCCATGAGGGTAGGAATTTTTGTCTGTTTAATTCACGATTGAATTCCCAATGCCTAGAGAATGTATGGCATGTGGTAGATGTTCAAAAAATATTTGGTGAATGGATAAATTATAAAACCCTTATTGGGGCCAGGCGTGCTGGCTCACACTTATAATCCCAGCACTTTGGTTTTAGTGGAGCAAGCACAGCTCACTGCAGCCTCAACCTCCCAGGATCATGAGATCCTCCCACCTCAGCCTCCTGAGTAGCTGGGACTATAGCTGTGCACCACCATACCCAGCTAGCTTTTGTATTTTTAGTAGAGACGGGGTTTTGCCATGCTGCCCAAACTGGTCTGGAACTCCTAAGCTCAAGTGATTCTCCCGCCTCGACCTCCCAAAGTGCTGGGATTACAGGTGTGAGCCACCATGCCCAGACTGTAATCCTAGCACTCTGGGAGGCCGAGGTGAGAGGAGTGCTTGAGCTCAAAAGTTAGACAGCAGCCAGGGCAACATAGTGAGACCCTGTCTCTTTTTAATTAAAAAAACGAAACCCTTATTGGAAGTGAAGTTTGATCAGTAGGAAAGGAATTTTTAATTTTGTTTCTTGATGTTAGATATCTCGGCATGAAGGTGTACAATATCCTATTTATTCCAGGCTTCATAAAGTATATCTCCAATTCTTAGAGATTCCATCTGGTAAAAAGCAAAGAACAAACAGGAAAGAAATTAATTTTTTTCTTTGCCTAGCTAGTTTTATTGTTACAACTTTGGCAACTGAAGAAAAAAGGAGAAAAAAACCAAAACAGCCACCTCTTCTAGTTATTTCTTTGTAGATGTTAGGGAATATATGTCAGAAAAAAAGGGTTTTTCCACTACATTTCATTAAGGTCAATTAGACAGCAATTATTTCTACACTAATAAACAATAGGAAAACTGCTATATTTTAAAGCAAATTAATAATAAACAAACATGAAGACATCTGAATAGATTAAGGCTAGGCAATTTGCCCATTCTGCAAATATACAATCTATAAAATAATATAAGGTAATTTGAAGCCGGAAAGAAGCCCATGTTTCCTAAAAGTAATTTACTAATGTTCTATCACAATTTCACATGCAAAGGGAGCTATCACATCTACTCCTCAAATAAATATATATACAATACCTGTTCTGTTTGAAGCTGTTCTCGAAGTACCCTTACTAGCTCCTGGTTTTCTGGGTGAATGTTTTGATGTACATTTCTGTTGAATAGAATATAATAAATTTTGAATAGAAAATATTATCAGATGAATCCATTTTATTCATGGGTCTACTTTCTGACTTATAACTACTGGTAATTAATGTAATTGATGGCATACAAGCACTTCACTTCCGGGACTGTACGTTTCAGGCTGTCCTGTGGTGAGTTCTTCTGAGATCACTGATTATTAGCCAATTTCAGGTTTAAGTGGCAAATGGTAAAATCCAGAGGCCTAGTACCTTGGAAATCTATTGTAAATGGAAGCTTACAAATAATGTAAAGAACATTTGTTTCTTTGGTGAAATTTCTTCAAAATAAGCAGTTATCTAATTTTACCTACTATTATGCATTTGAATGCTTTTCCACATCTAATTAGATCCTTCTCCTAATTTTCAGGTATTAGGGGAGGGGAACAGAGCAGAAACTAAAATTATTTAATGTAGAAAAGCCAAAACTTGGCCAGGTGTGGTGACTCACGCCTGTAATCCCAGCACTTTTGGAGGCCGATCACCTGAGGTGGATCACCTGAGGTTAGGAGTTTGAGACCAGCCTGGCCAACATGGTGAAACCCTGCCTTTACTAAAAATACAAAAATTAGCCAGGCTTGGTGGTGGGTGCCTATAATCTCAGCTACTCAGGAAGCTGAGGCAGGAGAATTGCTGGAACTCAGGACGCAGAGGTTGCAGTGAGCTGAGATCGCGCCATTGCACTCCAGCCTGGGCTGACAATGGCAAGACTCTGTCTCAAAAAAAAAAAAAAAAAAAAAAAAAGGCAGAAAAGCCAAAACTTAACATGTCACTAATATCTTGACATTAACAATTAAAATGGTGAATCAAAGGCAAGCGGTTAGTGGCTAACATAAATGGATGGGATAAAACATCCCATATTGAAAGTCAGATGTTGGCTGGGCGCGGTGGCTCATGCCTGTAATCCCAGCACTTTGGGAGGCCGAGGTGGGTGGATCACCTGAGGTCAGGGTTCGAGACCAGCCTGACCAACATGGAGAAACCCTGTCTCTATTAAAAATACAAAATTAGCCGGGCTTGGTGGCAAATGCCTGTAATCCCAGCTACTCGGGAGGCTGAGGCAGGAGAATCGCTTGAACCCGGGAGGTGGAGGTTGTGGTAAGCCAAGATTATGCCATTGCACTCCAGCCTGGGCAACAAGAGCAAAAAACTGTCTTAAAAAAAAAAAAGAAAAAAAAGAAAGAAAGATGTGTTGGTCAGGCTGGTAGGTAGGGTGAGGGCAAAGTGTTACATGTTATCACAGCTTAATTTCATTTGGCTATTAATGTATCTTCTAAACATAAATGTCTTAAACAAGAATATTTTAAGTCTACACAGTCCCAAGGTTACTCCACAGAAGAGCCTTTACTCTCTGGGTAAGCCAATATCCAACAGAGATAAGAACTCTCATATTCGAATGTGATAGGGAGAAGTATAGAAATCTATCCTATGATTATTCAATTGTTAGCAAAAAACTGCAAATTTTAGAAAAAGAAATCAACTAAATATAACTGTTAGTTCACAGAAGACATAAAAGCAATTTAAAGTCAAATATCTAAACAATGAAACAATCTGAACTCTGTTTAAACCTGTTAAATCTTATTTTGTTGTTGCTGAGACGGAGTCTCACTCTGTCACCCAGACTGGAGTGTGGTGGCGCAATCTCAACTCACTGCAACCTCCGCCTCCCAGGTTCAAGCGATTCTCCTGCCTCAGCCTCCTGAGTAGCTGGGATTACAGGCACGTGCCACCACACCTGGCTAATTTCTGTATTTTTAGTAGAGATGGGGTTTCACCATGTTGGCCAGGCTGGTCTCGATCCTGACTTCAGGTGATCTGCCTGCCACGGCCTCTCTAAGTGTGGGGATTACAGGCATGAGCCACCGTGCCCGGCCTAAACCTGTTAAAACTTGATGCATTCTTCATTTTAAAATAAGGCACATTCTTATGATTGAACAGATGATCTGTGAAAGAAAGCACTCACTATATGAAAGCACCCTGTCAAGGAGCAATCTAACTAGCAGAGGAACCATCTCATTTAAATACCAGTGAATACCTAGCTAAATGGCATTTCTCCATTCTTTGAGAGTAGAAAACCATTCCCTTTTCATTGGAAAAAAAATCGTGATGACGTTTCAGAGTACAGACATGAACCACGTGACTGGAAAGCCTCTCCTCTGGCTTCTTTCTATAAGAAAGATGTAAGAATTCTTAAATCTGGTGGTAGAATATTTTAAAAAATATATCCTATTTAAATGTATTTTTAAAATATATAATATTCTATTTATTTAATTATATGTTAAAATATATATAAATTTAAAATATATTTAAATAGAATATATTTTTTAAAATATTCTACCACCAGATTTAGGAATTCCTACATCTTGTTGTGAAGCCAAACAAGAACAAATAGCCCAAGCTGCTAAATACTGCCTGTAACTCCCATGATGATGGTATTTGGAGACAAAACCTTTGGGAGGTAATTAGGTCATGAGGGTGGTGCCTTTGTGATAGGATTACTGCCCTTACAAAAAGATACATGAGATAACCTGCTCCCTGCTCTACTCTCTTCTGTATAAAGACACAGCAAGAAAACCACCATCCACAACCCATGAAGCCGAGTCTCGCCAGACACCAGATCTGACAACACCTTGATCTTAGACCTCCCAGGCTCTCAAACTGTGAGAAATAAATGTTTGTTGTTTAAGCCACCCAGTCTATGGTTATTTGTTTTTTTGGGGGGGGGTTTGTTTTGTGTGTGTGTGTGTGTTTGTTTTGTTTTGAGACGGAGTCTTGCTCTGTTGCCCAGGCTGGAGTGCCGTGGCACAATCTCAGCTCAATGCAACCTCTGCCTCCTGGGTTCAAGCAATTCCCCTGCCTCAGCCTCCCAAGTAGCTGGGACTATAGCTGCACGCCATCATGCCCTGCTAATTTTTTAATTTTTACTAGAGACGGGGTTTCACTTTGTTAGCCAGGATGGTCTCAGTCTCCTGACCTTATGATCTGCCTGCCTTGAATTCCCAAAGTGCTGGGATTACAGGCGTGAGCCACCATGCCCAGCCTTGTTTTTTGTTTTGTTTTGTTTTTTTTAAGACGGAGTCTTGCTCTGTCGCCCAGGCTGGAGTGCAGTGGCGCCATCTCGGCTCACTGCAAACTCTGCTTCCCAGGTTCACGTCATTCTCCTGCCTCACCCTCCCGAGTAGCCCAGCTAATTTTTTGTGTTTCTAGTAGAGATGAGGTTTCACTGTGTTAGCAAGGATGCTCTCGATCTCCTGACCTCATGATCCGCCTGCCTCGGCCTCCCAAAGTGCTGGGATTAGAGGTGTGAGCCACCGCGCCTGGCCACAAATTTGTTTTTGAGACAGATCTTGCTCTGTTGCCAGGCTGGAGTGCAGTGGCACAATCTTGGCTCCCTGCAATTTCCACCTGCCGGGTTCAAGTGATCTCCAGCTAATTTGTATATTTTTAGTAGAGGCGGGGTTTCACCATGTTGGCCAGGCTGGTCTTGAACTCCTCACCTCAAGTGATCTGCCTGCCTCGGGCTCCCAAAGTGCTAGGATTACAGGTGTGAGCCACTGCACCCAGCCTATGGTTATTTGTTATAACAAGCCAAACTGATTTAGACAATGGTCAAATACTTTTTGACAAGGGTGCCAAGGGTGCCGAGACCATTCAATAGAGAAAGTATCCTCTTTCAACAAATAAGTGCCAGAAAACTGAATATCCATATTAAAAATATAAAAACTCAAAATGCATCAAAGGGCTAAACTTAAGAGTTAAAACTATACAGATTATAGGAAAAAGCAAGAAAATATTCATGCCACTGGATTTTGGCAATGATTCCTTATATATAAGACAAAAGCACAGGCCAAAAAAAGGAAAAAAACACAAAGATGACTTCTCAAAATTAGAAACTATGTATATCAAAGGGCACTTAAGAGAGTAAGAAGAATATCCACAGAAAGGGACAAAATATTGGCAAATCATATACAGGAAATCCTGATTTTGTTTCCCTTTATTGCACTTAGCAGATATTGTGTTTTTTACAAACTGAAGGTCGTGACAACCTTGTGTTGAGCAAGACTATTGGCACCATTTTTCCAACAGCATGCACTTGCTTCATGTTTCTGTGTCACATTTTGGTTATACTTGCAATCAATCAATCAATCAATCAACATTGTGTATGCTCTGACTGCTCTATTGACAAGCCATTCCCCAGTCTCTCTCTCTCTCCTCAGACCTTCCTATTCCCTGAGGCATTGACAATATTAAAATTAGGTCAACTAATAACTCTACAGTGGCCTCTAGGTGTCCAAGTGAAAGGAAGACTTGCATGTCTCTCATTTCACATAAAACCCAGAAATGATTAAGTTTTGTGAAAAAGACATGTCGAAAGTCGAGCTAGGGCAAAAGTTGTGCTAGCTGGCCAAGTTGTGAATTAAAAGGAAAAATTCCTGAGGGACATTAAAAGTATTAGTCAAGTGAACACATAAATGATAAAAAAGCAAAACAGCTTTATTGCTGACATGGAGAAAGTTTGAGTACTCCGGATAGAAGATCAAACCAGCCACAACATTTCCTTAAGCCAAAGCCTAATCTAGACCAAGTCCCTCCCTCCTTCAATTCTGTGAAGCTGAGGGAGGAGAGGAAGCTACAGAAGAAAAGTTGAAAGCTAGCAGAGGTTGGTTCATGACATTTAAGGAAAGACGAAGCCCAAACTTTTATTTTAGGAATAGCAAGTGCTGATGCAGAAGCTGCAGCAAGTTATCCAGATATAGCTAAGATCATTGACGAAGGCTGGCTATGCTCAATAACAAAAAAAATTTTTTTTTTTGAGACAGATCTCTCACTCTGTCGCCCAGGCTGGAGTGCAGTGGCGTGATCTCGGCTCACTGCAAGCTCTGCCTCCCGGGTTCATGCCATCCTCCTGCCTCAGCTTCCCAAGTAACTGGGACTACAGGCACCCGCACCATACCTGACTAATTTTTTTGTATTT